TGTTAGGGAAAATCTTTCTCTCTCCTATAGAATTGGTTTTCTTCTTCCTTTATGATTCCAAACATGGCACAAGCTATTGTGTTTGCTTTTTTTTGCCCTGGCTACCAGGAAGCTTGCAACTAAAACTGATTTTCAGTTCAACTAGTACAGTATTTCATATGGCTAATATATTTGTATCCTTCTCCTTTCCTTAATCCTGATATTTTATTTCTAATTCATCTTATTATATGTATTTGTTGTAGGCACATCAAGCCCTTTGGAGAAAAAGGTGGCATATAAAAACTATAAACAAATATGAATATAATAATTTTATAATTTAGTACATTTTGTTTAAATGTAATAGAAAATATAAATGTAAAGCAAGTACCATTCTTTATTCCAGTAACTGAGATGCCAATAAAACGCATCTAATGAGTATTTACCCTAATGAGTATTTACATTTCATCCAAGACATGCAAAATATTATATATTGATGTACTCCTGCACTTCTTTGGCAAGTGGATATTAAGTTGTATAATAAGTACAGTATATATATTAGTTATCTGAATATCATTTTAAAACACTGATTTATGCTGAATTTTCACTTTTTTTCAGAGATGAAGAAAGTCCTTATGCAGCTTCCCTCTATCACAGTTAGATGATCAGGGACGATAATCTAACCTGGATTAAAAGGTGGTTGGATCATGAAGAAACCAACAACTAAAGATTCAAAAGCATATACATCCTTAAATCACAACCAAATAGTTTCACCTACTGCAATTGCACTGACGTGATTATTTCCTCTGGCTTTCTATGATTTTAAGTCTTTATTATGGCATGAGAGCAAAATCGTATCCTAAAGATCATCACTTTTGTAGGTGATGGTAGTTTTTAGACTAGTTTTTGTAAATACTAGTTAACATAAAGCATCAAAGACTATATACATATTCAAGCTGAAACCAGTGTTTATCTTCTGAAAAATCCTAATGATGTGAAATATATGGTTGCTGTTTAAGTGATGCTGATTTTGCTATGTGTTTATAAATTAAGTGCTATATATATATATATTTCAATATGTATTACAATATTCTGTATTAATATAAAGAACCAAATTTTGTCTGCTATTTTGTAAAAATAAACTACAAAAGCCTGAATGAGAAAATACACTATGTTTTCATATTTGAGTCTGTAATTTTTTTCAACAAATAGAAATAAAATTGATTTTTAAATTATTTTTGAAATGGTGACAGCTTCTCCATTTTAATTGCTTTTGTTATTATAATTGGAATTTTTAAAAAGTTTCAGTAATCTAAAAGCAAATCAATTATGGGTATTAGTAGCCTTTGCATTTTCATAATATTTGAACTGATTTGTTTGAGGTATAGTTTAAACACAAAATATGATCAGAAGGAGAAATAAAAAATACCATGCTCTGAGACACTGGTGAATTCTAATTTAGATTTCATGAAGTCACTTTGGAGAGTGTTTTTTAGTCACTGTGCTCATTTGAGTTGAGGATTAAGCTTTTATTTACCTCATTTGTATCATATGTACAGGTTATAGCAGTAAGCCTTAAGCAATACATTACTTACAATTAAAGGGTTTTTTTGGTCTCAATTTTTATTCAAGTATCAGGTTAAATCTTAAGCTTCCACAAAAATTTCCCATATTTATCCGTCCCCCACTTCCCCAAAGGAATCTGCTTTCTGTGGAGCAAACAGGACTTTCCCCTCATTTTCTCTTCCCTTTCTTGCTCCTCCAGGTCTTCCGTTAAGCAGGAAACAGGTGTCCTTAGGTGTCAATGCAGCAGAGCTGGTAGAAGCAGAACCGCACAGGTCCAGCCCTTGAGGGTGACGTATAGGTGCATGCATGGGAACAGCAGTTGTCTGCCCTTGGCTGGAATTTGTTCATAACATACATAATCCCTTGTGTTCTGCTTTTTTTTTTTT